TCCTACCTGTATCCTTCACCCAAGGGTACAACAAAATTGGTGGCAGCGGTGGGATTGCCAAAAGAAAGGACAAATAGACGGGCTTGCCAAAAAACACGGACAACCAGGACGGTTCGTTCTAGAAAAGGACAACCAGTGAGAATTGCCAAACATGGACCATAACGGAGAGAAAATCTAAAACGAGACACCAAATTTTTCGGACTACTCCAGGTATCCAGGCACTGAAGACTACTTACCGAGTAAACCAATCATACAAGCTAAAACACGAAAAACGATTTGCGTATGCTTCGTGAATAAGCAACATGTTCACACAAGAGAAGCACATTTAAATACGCAAACGCGAATACGAGCTGAAAAGAGACGCTGTGAATCGTCTCATAAGCCCTGAAGAAATCAGGCGGACGGACGACAACCGTCAGAAAAGAAGAACGTTAGACAGCCAGCACAGCTGACTGATATCGCACACTGGTCATCGTCCCGCTGACATCCGACCGGAGCAGCCAAGTTGAAGGACGTAGAGGAACATCGCCACATCGTTAGGACTACGTCACGAGCCATCGCCGCAACACAACGACGAGACTACGAGGCATCGACGTCACGAGCCGCCAACACATTGACACATCACTCACCGGCGCAGCCAAATCATCACAAACGCTGACATGCAACTCTACGTGCTCATCGTAATGTAAGTCAAAGACATTTTAATCTACCTGCGAGCGAATAACCTGCGTACAAAATTACGTAACTGTGCGAATAAACTCCGCGAGTAAATAAAAACGCCAGAAAAATTTTTAACTTACTAAAAGCGAATGACCAAAAACAGGAATTCGGAACCGCGACTAACTAATGATAGTCAAAGCGAATTACCATTACGCGAACCTCCGTCCGTAGGTATAGCGGAAGACGCATTACGCGACATCATTACCAATATAAATAGGGCATTAGATTTCTCGGACAGCGACTCTCAATCGACACCTACTAACGTGACAATAACACGAAACTTCACACTTGACATAAACAACTACAGTCTCCTTGAAAGGAATATGGAAAACTCTCCAATAAACGCTACTCTGGGCGCAACCGCGGAAGAAATTAACACCGGAATAAGACGCTCAAGAGACAACCGTGAGATAGGATTCACTAGATCAGAAACGGTAGGACCATTAAATGGAGAAGCTACGGTTCTGCAAGAACTATTAAGAGAAATACGAGAATTACGCGTGCAGTTCACAAAACAAAATAGAAATAGGCAAAGCCTACACATCGGACCAACTAGGGATACTTTCTTCTCACACAATCCAGCTTTAGATCTAATATACGGTCGAACCACACGGGATGTTAGACAACAACCTGGCACATCAGATAGTTTCTTAACTTTAAAAGAAGCGCGGAATATGATCCCCGAAATTGACGGATCGTCCAGAAACCGCGTGCGAGAATTC